GAACAACAAAGTGTAAATGTTGGGGATTGAACTTGGGTGCTCTGGAAGAGAAGTATATGTCCTTTACTACTGAGTCATTTCTTTAGCCCCTGATTTTATATCATTTTAAAATTTTTGTTTTTAGGGTTTTCTTTTATGTGAATTGGTAAGGTTTTGTTTTGTTTTGACTGCATCTGTGTCTATGTGAAGGTATCTGATCCCCTGGAACTGGAGTTACAGACAGCTGTGTGCTGCCGTGTAGGTGCTGGGAATTGAACCCAGGTCCTCTGCAAGAACAAACAGTACTCTTAACTTCTGAGCCATCTCTCTAGCCTTGGTTTTATGCCATTTTAAATGCTCTCTCTATAGAGGAATGCCACCTGTGTTTTCACATTTCTGCCACAGTATCGCGTTCTCTAACATTTTGTTGGGTAGAGTATTCACTCATCCTTGGCTTGTTTGAAGATTTTAGGGAGAAAATGCTTACTATTCTTATGTGAATTTTGACACTGTCATAGAGTAGGGGTTTTGTTTGTTGGTTGGCTGGTTTACTGTATTATCTATTTATTTGGTTGGTTGGCTTTTTGAGGCAGGGAGAGATCTGAGATAATCTCTCTATGCAGTCTTTGTTGTCCTGAAGCCCACTATAAAGATCGGGCTAGCCTCAAACTTGTACAGATTCTCCTACTCCTGCCTCCCGTGCATTGGGATTAAAGGTGTGTGTCACCATACCCTGCCTACACTTTATTATTAATTGTTAGGCTGGCCTGCATCATAATAGTGGGTGTCTTCAAGATCTCATCCCTCATGTATCATTGCAGTGTGCTCATGGTCACCTGGCTGTCCCCTCTGCTATCCTTCCCTCTGTTACTGTTTCCTGCTCTGCATACGTAGTGATAAAATCTAGACTGTCAGAGGAGAGAAAATACAGGCTGTCCTGTATCTGATAGAAACACTTCAGTAGGCTGCAGGAGTTGTGTGTTCTCCATTGCTAATCCTTTCAGATCACAAAGAGGATTTGAACTTAAAATGACTTGCTATTTCCCTGACCCTTTCCTGCGCTTAAAGTTGATTGAGGTTAAAGCAATCTTGCCTTTCTGCATTAAACTGTATGGTGACATGCTGCATGGTTTCCTCCCACCTTTGGTTTCTTCTTGATAATTTTTATTTAAGATATTCGTCTCAGGACCAGCCAGATGGTTCAGGACTAAATGTGCTTGCCATCAAGGCTGATGACCTCATTTCAATCTCTGGTACCTATGTGGTGGAACGCACCTGGTGGAACCCACAATTTGTCCTGTGACCTTCACAGTTGTACCATGGCACCTGTACACGTACGCACGTGCGCGCGCGCACACACACACACACACACACACTACATTTTAAAATAGATACTTGTATCTGTTTTCAGGAGAGACTGCTTCACTGTTTTGTTTTCTTCTAATGTACATCTTGTAGATTGGTGTCAGCTTCATTGGCTTCACAAAATGAAGCCTTTTTTCTGCTTTATGAAATAATTTATGTAACAATTTTTTTTTTTTTTTTTTTTTTTTTTTTTTTTTTTTTTTGCCCAAATGTGTTTAGAAGACTCCTTACCAGGAACCTGTGGATACAAAGGTTTCAATTTTTGTCCTGACTAATCTTGCCAAATACAAAAACATTCTTATGTCCTGTTCCATGGGAATTTTATTATAGTCTTCATTTTCAAACCTATGTGAAGTTTTCTCATAATATTTTGCTCCTCCTACTTCAGCATGTCTGGTCCCATGGTTATGTGTTCTTTCCTTTTATTTTGACTTGCTTTTGAGTCTGGGTGCCATTCTGTAGCCTAGACTGCTTTCAGTCTTACAGCCGTCCTCCCTCAGATTCCAAACACTAGGCTACACTCCCCATATCTTCTTTCTGGTAATTGTTTGCTTTGCTTCATTCAGCTTTCCAGCTGGATGCAACGCCATCTGCCATTTCTTCTTTTTTTTTTCCCCCCTGACTTAGTGAGATCATATTTGAAAAGTCTTTGTGCTTATATCTTGAGGTGTTATTCCTGTTTGCCTGTAGCAGTCTCAGTGTTCCAGGTCATAGTTTAATCCATTTTGAGCTTCCCTCTTCCTACCTAGTTTGAGTCTTGTGCGCGTAGATACTCATCACCTGGTGAAGAGGCTTCCATTCCTCCATTTAAGTATCTTGGCACCTTTTTTGAGTAATACATATTTATTGGTCTTATTTCTTGGGTCCTCTATTCGGTTTCATTGTGTCTCTTTCCCTTCCTCCCTTCTTTCCTCTTTTTCTCTCCTTCTCTGTCTTGTGTCTATCTCTCTCCTCCCCCATCTTGCCTCCCCTCCCTGTCTGTCTCCCTCTGGGTGCCAGCACAGGCTGTTTTGTCACTGTGATTCTGTAGTATAATTTGAATTTAAGGATTGTGATGCTACCAATATTGCTCTTGTTCAGTGAGGATTGATATTATTATTATTTGGTGTCTTTTGTACTTCCAACAAGATTTTAATAGTTCTTTTCACTTTTGTGAATGATGTCACTGAAATTTTGGTGTGGATGACGTTGAACTTGTCCATCACTCTAGGTAACATGACACTTTATCAACATGATATCTGCCAACTAACCCATGTATATGAGAAGTCTTTACATCTTCTAGCATTTCTTTTGAATATTTTTATTAATATATTAATTTATCACATGCTGAAAGCAGATAAGTTAAAAGCAGCTTTACATGACAAATGTCCAGTAAATGTTGGAAGCAGCATATGGATATAATAGGTTGATAACGTCTCTCTGTAGCTTTGAATGCTATTAAGGGTCAGTAAAGTAACTTCTTCCCTTGCAAAACTCGGTTAAAGGTTTCTGTAGAAAAGAATTACTCATTCCTTCCCCATACTATGTTTTTTGTGCTATTAAATAAATACAGAACAAAGCCTTTTGTTAGGGACAGTCCAACACCATACGTGCAACAGACAGGCCCCAGATCAGAAACTACAGAAAGACAGATGAAAGACACAGGGAGACAAGCAGGGGACAATTGATCCAAAGCACCCCATCAAGCCCCCTGTTTAGTACCTCCAACATTTGCTATGTGTATTTACAATTATTAAATCTTTTGATGGATTATTCTCTTTATTAAGATACAGTGACCGTCTTGATCTCTTCTTTCCGTTTTTATCTTTTTCCAGACATGAGTATAGCTGCTTTTGCTTCTATGTAGATTCTGTTTGCTTGGGAATACAACATTCCAAACGTCCACTTTCTGTCTTTTAATCTTTGACAATGAGGTAAGTCTCTTGGAGACGGGACGGTTGAATCATGTTTTTGTTTTTTCTTAACATTTCCCAGTTCTGCTTATTGTTTTAGTGGTTGCACATTTTTATACAGGTGTGTTCACCTCTGCATGTCTGTGCATGTCTGTGCATGTGGAGGCCAGGGAATGACGTCAGGCCTCTAGTGCCTTCTACCTTACTTTTTAAAGACAGTCTCTCAGTGGACATGGACCTCACTTATCTGGCTAGACCAGCCGTCCAATCAGCCCCAGGGACTGTCCTGTTTCTGCCACTCTGACTTCCGGTGTTGAGGTTACAGATGCTTGCCATTATACCTGACGGTTTCTAAGGTGTACGCGCTGGCTCAGCAGCCTCTTTACACACCACGCTGTCTCCCCAACCCTCAGGCTGCATATTTTCTGGAGACTTAACGTTTATATTTAGAGCCATCACTGCAAGGTATGTACTGATTTCTTCCTTGTTCATCTTAAAGCTTGTGTGTCCACTGAGGTAAAACTATTTGCCCCTTTTGAAACTGCAATTTGTCTTCCTATTCTTATAGTGATATCTTTATTCTTCTCCACGCTCTCATGCTGCTGTGAATCTTTTTCTTCTCTGTGTAGTATTCTTTCCTTACTGTCTTCTTTCAGGATGGCTGAGTGGTGGTAGATTGTTTTAGCTCAAGCTGATCGTGGAGGGACTTCATTTCTCCTGATTTTAAAGGATCAATCTACTGGGCATAGTAATCTGGGTTGACAATTACTGACTTTTAAGATTTAAATATATCAGCCTGTGGTTCTTGTCCATTAGAATTTCTACAAAGAAATCTCTAGATGCCCTGATGCGTTTGCTTTTGTGCCTAACTTGGCTCTTTTGTCATGCGGCTCGTTTTTAGAACTGTGAGATGACATGGAAAGGTGCTTCTTTGGTCATGTCTAGCTACAAATTCTTCCTTTACTTGCATAGCCACATGTTTCTCACGACTTGGGGGATTTTCTATGGGACTTCCATGAAATAGAGTTTACTAGGTTACACTGTAACCTGGTTCCTTCTTTCAAGGGAAAATTTCAGAGGATTGGCCTCCTCAGCATGTCCTCAATCTTGGGTTTAATTTCTGGAATTTTTTGTTATGCTTGGTGTACAGCAGTGTTTCTCAGCCTCCCTAATGCTGTGACCTTTAATACAGTTCCTCATGTTGTGGAGACCCCCAGCCATAAAATTATTTTTTTTTCATCTACTTCATGAAGTCACTTCTTTTTTTTTCGTGCGTGTGTTATTTTGTTGTTTTTGTTTTGTTTTTCGAGACAGGGTTATGAAGTCACTTCTTAACCGCTTCTTTAAGCTTAGGGATAATTTCTAAATCTTTGCCATTGAATATTTTGTTCATTCAAAACATTTTGGTATTTTTAGTTTTAGCCACATTTGCTTTTTCACAATTGTTGGATTTCTATGGTTTCCCAACTCTTCTTATTTCAGAGTCATCTGGAGGAATCTTCTTATAGTATCTTATCCCAGACATGTCCTATGTTTTCAATGTTGTGGTGGTTGTAGTTTGTTAAATGTTTTAAGTTTTTGCCTGCCTGCCTGCCTGCCTTCGTTCCTTCCTTCCTTCCTTTCTTTACAGAGCCTTTCTATATAGCTTCGGGTGTCCTGGGATTCGCTATGTAGACCAGGCTGGCCTAGAATTCACAAAGATCCTCCTGCCTCTGCTGAGATCTGGGATTAATTTGTGCACCACCACGCCCAGGAAATAGTATATTTTTGTTGCTGTTTTCTAGGGCAAGAAACCTGACAAAAAGGAACATTACATAATGCTTAAACGGAAAGTTAACCCTGTTGCAGAAGGAGAAGCCATAGCTCCACCACCAAAGAAAAGATACAGGATGGACACGGTGTCAAATAAATCCCTTGAAGCTGCCACCGAGGCGAAGGGAGAAGGTAAATATATCATTGTTGAGTAGACAGATACGAGCATATTCACGAGTTGAAGAAAACACGTGGAATGATGAAAGTGATGGCAGTTGCTGCAGGGAGAGCAACAGGGCCAAAACCGCTCCTTGCAGCTATCATAGAACAAGATCTAAGAGGGGGCAGATGTGCTTCCCACCTGGCCGTACTTCATCACCTGTCCTCTCCTTTCCTCCATATTGGAATGCCGTATGGGCCCCTGCCTTCTGACTCATCCACACCACACACACTGTCGTGAACATCAACAGTCTGCGATGACACTGCCATTCTCCTCTCAGCAGCCTCTGATGCAGACAGCCAGCCCTTTATTAACGACCACTTTCGGGGGTTTCTTATTTTATTTTATGTGTGTAGGTGTTATTCCTGCTTGTGTCTCTATGCCCTACTTGTGTACCTGTTGCCCACCAAAGTGGGAAGAGGGCATGGGATCCCCTGGGATTGGAGTTGCAGATAGTTGTGAGAAGCCACATGAGTACTGGGACTCAAACGCGGGTCCTCTGGAAGTAGGGCCAGTATTCTTAAACCACCGAGTCACCTCCTCAGTCCCAACTTCCTGGGGTATCTAATCTCCATAATGTGTTTCTTATTGGTGAAGCCTTTTTTTCTGGTTTTCCTGCCCTTTATTATTTTTTTTTCTCCTGCTTATTCATGAAATATTTTCTAACTTAGGCCATTTGAGTCTAGTTCACACTGCCGTGACTAATTCCCACAGTGAAGATAGGTGATTTCTGTTTGGTCTCCATTACATCTGTACCCACTTCCTAACATCATCTCTCAACCCTGCAGCCAGGGTAAGGCTATCAGCGGGTCAATATAGCCGGCCGCCTTCGTGCTGAAACAAAAACCCTGTGCTCCCAAGCATGCAAGATACAACCTGACTCCTGTCCCGGGTCCATTAGGCTCTCCATAACCCGTTCTCACCATCACATATAGTCACCTTCATCCTCTGCGGCTATAATTTACCACACCATGCCTACATCCCCTCCCTCAGATCACATTGCACACTGGCACATCTCCGACAGCTACACAGACTACCTCTGTCTCCTCCTCTGTTTTACTTAGGGACCCCTCCCAATGGGAAGCACCAACCTGGCAGTCCTGGGAGCACCTCACATTTCTGTTGCCTTCTTCCCCAACGTGAGAGCAGCCCAGTGTGAGGTTCCTCTCTGATGTCTCCATGACACTGCAAATTCCATCAGAGCAGGGGGGGGGCATTACTGTCACAGATGACCCCTAGCACCTGGCAGAATCTGGGCACAACAGAACATGAGTGTGAGAGGGAGAGGAAAAAGATCTTGACACAAAAGTGAAAGATGCGTAGTCACCCAAGAATGCGAATTTCTTTGTGAAGGTGTGGCCCTACCATTTTGACATCTGTGACAGCTTTAGCTTTTTGACTTGTAAAGTATATCAATGTGACACTAACATGAGCGTGCCAGGGATGTATGTTGTTTCTTCATTGTCCTGTCCAGCTAGTGTGTGTGTGTGTGTGTGTGTGTGTGTGTTCATGGAGCCACAGGTATGATGTGGTGTTCTTCTATGCTGTACCCTGGGGTCACTTTGTCATGGTTGAGATTTTTCTCTGGTGTACTCTCCTCCTCTGCAATTATTTTCGGTCCTGAAGAGCGCAGAGATGCCTGTGTGGAGACATTGAGCTCACCTACTTCACAGCTCCATTTGCTACTTTGCTTTCCAGGTGCTACTGTCATCCAGAAAGCCCAGGTAGGGACAACGGAGGGTGAGTCCAAGTCACCTAAAGTCTACGCAAAAGAATGTGATCCAAAGCAGCCTAAGCCTGTGGCAGGAGAAGCCATTCTCCCTAGTCCACGAGGTTCTCTGCCTGACAACTCTCTTCAGCGCAAAGGTGATGATGGCACAGTTGCAGGGGGAAGTGTTAGCAGTGATAACTCTGCCAGCACTGCTAATGCACCAGCAACACCTCCATCGGAAGCTGGCCCCCACGCGGCCCCATTGAACCCAACTGTAACTAATTATGAAATTAAAAATGCCCTGATGACCGAAATCCGACGCTATGGACGCCGTAAGTACCCAAAGTAACAGAGACAAGGCAGGTGTCCCCAGTTGTATGATTAGAACACCCTGAAATTGCCTCAGGAGAGAGAGCCTTTGCCACAAGTGAGGTTTTCTATATAATTGACTAAAGTCACTCTTCACTGAAATAACTCGGCAGACTCCATCTTCCCTTCGTAATGTTGTTTGGCCATTGCTCATAAGGATTGTGCCCTTCCCTGTGAATAGGCATTTAGAACACATACCCACCATTTAGCGTTCTTGACCATAAAGTGCATTACACAGATTCACCAAGATCCCGTACTATTTTTCCATTTCTGAGAAATGCTCAAGTAGTCTTACATTCTCTCCAGAATATGCAAGGATTTTCAAGCTGCTTGAAGAGGTGCAGGGACCTCTGGAAGTCCGGAAACAGTTTGTCGAGTTCACCATCAAGGAAGCGGCAAGGTGGGTGCACAGGGGAACCGCACATCTTCCCTCAGTGGTTGGGTGAAGGGTGGAGAACAGAGCCTGCTTGCAGTAGTTTCTCAATCCCTGGCCCCACCTTTACAGTTGAGGCTGATGATGTAGACGTTTAGGTTGATGTCACTTGGGCTGGACACACCCTCCCAGGCCTCCTCAACCCTCCTTTGTGGCAGTAGTCTTGAGCTGGGCACTGATCCCCAGTAGACACCCTTCATATTGGCTAGAGCACCTGGTACCTGGGATGTAGACTATTCCCACAGATGGTGAGCCCTGCTTTGGGTCACACACCACTTCTTACTGCACAGGTTCTTTGGGTATCTTTTTTTACATGATGTTTATATTTATTTTCAGATTTAAAAGACGTCACTTAATACGTTATCTCGAGGACATACTGGAAAAATTAAAGTCGGAAAGCTCTCTCAAGAACAATGATCCAAACCCAAGTACATGATTCTGTTGTTACTGGTTGGTCAGCAAGATCCAACAAATATTTTAATGTGTTCCTGAATGTAGCAGGGGGATGCTGAAGCCTCCTCGCATGTATTAGCTAAGATAGTTACCTCTAAGAAAACCTTTTAAGCAACTTTGAATAAAGGATGAGCTTTCTCCCTATGCGTTTTGTTTGAAAACATAACTTCTTTCTGGTTTGTTGATTGTTTTCCTCCCCTCTGCTGGTTGATGTTATTGTCTTATCGGGTAAATATTATTATGACATGTCTGTACTCTGAAGCGGGTCACCAGTGTCATCTCTGGTATTTAGAACCAGTGTCATCTCTGGTATTTAGAACTGTGGTCTTTCCCAAGTATCACTTTCAAGTTTCTTGTTTGTTTGGTTTTGATTTTTGATTGTTGTTTTGTTGTTTGGTTTTCTGAGACAGGGCTTCACTGTGTAATTCTGGCTGTCCTGAACTCACTATGTAGAACTCACAAAGCTCTGCCTGCCTCGGCCTCCTGAGTACTGGGTTTAGCAGTGTGTACTGCTGTACCTGGTGTCCCACCCATCTCTTATTCCTGTTGTCTACAGATAACCCTTCAACAGGTCCTGATGCTTGACTTAGTGAACTATCTCAAAGCCTTTTTACTTAACTATCTGGGCTGGGCCATTCCATGCCCTGGGTGAGTTGAGGTTCTGGAAATGGCCTTCACCTCTAATGACAAAGCACAAGAGTACTAAGAGGGACTCCACTCCTTTCACACCATTCTCCTTAGCCCTTGAAGTGCATTCAAGTATCATGTGATAACCAAGTGTTATTCCAGAAATTACAGAATCCTCCCCCTGTGGTTGTTGATTGAGAAAGATGTGGTTTCCATAGTGATGAGCTGTTTACTTCCACTTCCATGTCAATGGATTAATTTTGGGATCTCCTTGCAAAGGTGATCTGGCAGTATCTAAAACTGTCAGGATAGGAAACATGAGTTCAGTGTTATATCCCTAGGAGTAGTAGGTAGAGTTGGATCCTCACATTAGTCCCTTCATCACCAAAGACGTAGATGAGGCTTTAATACAAACTGCTCCAAACACTCGGTAGCAAAAGAGAGACTTGCCACCTCCTAGGTCCTACCTATCCAATTCCATAGGCAGTGCTATGATCTAGAAACACAGGCAACTCTTCAAACATGGTCATTTTAGCTAGGAGTGTTGGCGCACACCTGTCATCCCAGAGTTTGGGAGGTAAAGGCAGGAGGGTCAGGTTTGGAAGTTTATCCTTGGCTACAATCCAAGTTTCAAGGCTAGCCCACACTAAATAGGACCCTATAAAAATATCATTTCCCCCCTGTTTTCGAACCAGTCAATTCCAGGTGTAGGAAACATGATGAGGCAGTGCATGTCAAGAGATGCACACTGGGTGCAATCTCCCAATTTAATGACATTTCTCTGTGGAGTGCCATAATGGTCAGGAAGTCATTTTCTAGGTCCCTGAGTGCTGACTTTCTCTTGCTAGTATGGCTAGGGAAGGAAGTCTGTGCCTTAAACAAATCTCTATGTAAGAAGAAGAACAAAGCTGCTCTACTCCTTTTTTTTGGTCAGTTTCCAAAATCATTGGCCTGCCACTTGGAAGCTAAGTCCTCACTCTGGGACACGGTATCTTACACAGTGTCACTGTCATTTCCCCTGTTGGGAGATTGGGTATCGAGCAGTGTGATTAAACTTGGAAGTTCATCTTCACAGGTTTGTGTATAATATCCAACCTGACACTGTGGCGGTAATGTCCTGTAACAGTGTGAAAGCTTTAAGAATGTGCACCAAAGGTTATGGGTGTGGTCCCAGTAGCTTCCCATTCTCTTTTGTCCTGCATACAACCTCAGGAAGCTGGACTTGTCACTAACTGGAATGAGCTGGGAAGTGATTTTTCTCGAGGTCTCTGCTCAGTCGGGACTTGACTGAAACCTCAGCTTTGGTTTTGTGTGACTCCCAACAGAGACCCACAGTACTGTTCATTTACATATCTCGTTGCTTTTAAGCTGCTGGGTAAGAGTAGGTTGTTATGTAGCAGGGAAGAAACTAATATAGGTGCTGCCTACATGTTGTTAGTCATTAAAGTCACACATGATTTTATTTTAGCATACTTTTCTTGTTTTCCTTATCAGTTGGCCACAGAGAACTATTCCTGAAGCCACAGATGCTATAAAAGAAAAAAAAACTTTTTTTTTTTTTTTTTTTTTTTTTGGGCCCTGCTCCAAACTAGCAGATTCTTGCTCAACATTGCACCACACAACCCTGAGGTGAATTGTTGCTGTGTCCCCTTTCAAAGCCAGGATGTGGGTATTTGCTCATGTTACAAGCACTATGTTGCTGTGCCTTAGATTATGTGATCACCAAAGGCCCTGGTTTTGTTTTACCAGTTTTAGAGTTTTACAGGCTAACACGTCCAAGGTCAGGAGCTCACATCTGAGGAACTCTTTCTTGATGCGTCATAATATGCTAGAAGGCAGCATCTGGCTAGAAGGATTGTAAGACAGCCAACCTCACTCTATTTTATTTTTACTTTAGTGTATTGAGACAGAGTCTCATGATGTAGACCAGGCTGGCCTTAACTTGAAGAAATCTCCCTCCTAAGTGCTAGCATTAAATATGTGTAACAGTAATTAGCCAACCTCACCCAGACAACCTCACTTTTTTTTTTCCCGAGACAGGGTTTTGTTTTGGAGCGTGCCCTGGAACTCACTTTGTAGACCAGACTGGCCTGGAACTCACAGAGATCCACCTGCCTCTGCCTCCTGAGTGCTGGGATTAGAGGTGTGTGACACCAAGGCCCTGATGACAACCTCACTTTTAAAACCAATGTACCTTGCTGTTTACTAACCCACTCTAACACTGACAATCCATCCAGGAATCGAGATCCCTCATGATGTAATCACATCCTAGAAGCTCTCGTCTTAGGTCTGGAAAGGTTGCTAAGTTGTACAGGCCCTCAGCTCTATCTTCAGCACCAGAAAAAGTTGTACCTCTCAACTGTGTTGCATTAGGAAGTAAACATCAAGGGACACATTCAAACTATAGCATCTTCTTGGGATGGCTCAGAGTCACCCAGTTATAGTAAGGAAACAGTCTCGGATTTGGGGGTCTATGTGGGGCACACTGTGGTGAAACATCCTTTTGATCATTGAGTTTACTAAAAGACTTATTAATGCCATGGACATACAGGAAACCAGTAGCACAGCCAGGGCCTAAGCGAAGTTCAGCCCCAACACCATAGGTAGGCACACAGCATAGTGGGAAATCTGATTTGAGTTTAGGCCTACAAGGCAGAGTTGGGTTGGGGGAGCTTCTTTGGTATCTCAGAGGAGGTTGGAAGGTTTATTTATTTTTCTCTAGCATAAACCTACAGCCAGGCTGAACTTGTTTCCCTGCTACCCAGTACGTTCAGATTTCTCTGGAGACACCTGAATAATTCACCGACCTTTACAATGCCTCATTAATCCAGTAACTGATTATAGGTCCATTTGGCATGGGTTGGGACCACAATTAACAAAGTAATCATTTTGTAGTGTAACAGGCATGGTTCTTCCTCAAGGGCAAAGCCACAGCAACTTCTGGCAAACAAAAGTCATTAGAGAGGTAACTGGGCTCTCCTTAGAAAACCATTTATAAAGGCATGTCCTCAGGCATCCCAAGGTGACCAGGCAGTTCTTAATGCAGTCTCATTTCGGCTTCAGATTATCTTTCTGTGAGTAGGCCAAGTCCTGTCTGAGATGTGTCCTTAATTTAAAATAAATCACCCTTGGGCCATATTTCAGCTCACTAACCAACAGGCTGTCAAAAGCTCCTTTAGCCTCTGAAATGAAACTGCTGAATCCAGAGGCTCAATACGTTTATTCTTGTTCAACATTATTTTCTTCCTATCTTCATGTCCCACCCTTAAAACCTATAGTTGCTCAAACTCTCTGTGTTCCTGCTTCAGCATAAAGGGGGAATCTTGGAGATCAATTGGAAAAATGCTGAAACTCTTTGTGATTCATTTTGGGGGCTAGTGAGAGACAGCGGGTGTTTTGCACCTTGGAATGAGGATAAGCAGAGATCTGCAAGACTTTTATCTAACTCCAGGGCTAGGGAGATGACTCAGCAATTAAGAGCACTGCTCATTCAGAGGATCCAGTTCAATTCCCAGCTCACACCTCTCTGTCACTCCAAGACCTGACACTCCCACACAAGCATACATGCAGGAAAACCCCAGTGAATATAAGATAAAAATACATAAATTATTGCTAAAAACAGATCTCTAACTCCTGTGTGACAACTATGGATTCTTCAGAGGATCAAGTGACAAGAATCAAAGCCATTACTGTAACCCATGCACTCAGAAAACTTAAGCAGAGGGATCTCCAATGCCATTTTACACTATATCCAGACTCTGTCTTCAATGTAAAAAAAAGAAAACAGACTCTCAGCAGATTTTAGGTGTATAGAACACTGTTGTTACCATGTTTTATCACTAACTGTGGTTGCCAGGTTACATATTCGAACTCTTGCACACATTCCTCCTATCTAAGCACCTTTACATGGCCTGACTAGTAACCATTCCCTAACCTCTGGCCCCCAGTCCTTAGCAACCACCATTCTTTTCTCTCTGTTTCTAGGAGTTCAATGCTTTTTCTTTTACTTTTTTTGGTTAGAATCCACATGGGAATGAGGTCATGCAGTATTTGTCACTCAGCACAGCAGCCTTTACGTTCAACCATATTGTGGCAAATGACAGAATTTGGCTTTCTTTTTCTTTTCTTTTCTGTTCTTTTTTCCTTACAGAATGTTTTTCTTTCTTTCTTTATTTTTTTAAGGTAGGATCTCACTCGGTAGCCCATGCTAGCCTTGAACTTGCAATGATCTTTCTGCTGTGCGTCCTTGACTGCTGGAATTACAGCACCCTATCAAATTTCCTTTTTTTAAACATCGCAATCAAATTCCATTGTGCATATGTACTACCTCTTCTTTATCTATTCATCTACTGATGG